GGGAAGGTCGGAGAAGGTCAAGGTTGAGGGTGAAGGGAGAAATTGATGTGATGCGTGTGAAAGAACGGTGAGGGAAGATGATTAGAGAAAGGATGAACGAGCCAGGTGAACGTCATGGAGAGAGAGAAGGGGGGAGGGAGGGAGGGGGGAAGACGGAAATGTCAGTTATGAGAGAGAGAGGGATGGAAGGGGAGGTGAAATAAGAGAAAGGAGGTGGAATGATTGGAATGGAAAGAGAGGGAGTGCAAGACTGTGATAATGTTTTCTTGACTTAGTGCAGAGATGAGGCTCCTGGTGGTGTTCCTGCAGGCAGCAGCGTCCTGAGTGTGTGGTGTACCTGCAGGCAGCAGCATCCTGAGTGTGTGGTGTTCCTGCAGGCAGCAGCATCCTGAGCGTGTGGTGTTCCTGCAGGCAGCAGCATCCTGAGCGTGTGGTGTTCCTGCAGGCAGCAGCATCCTGAGCGTGTGGTGTTCCTGCAGGCAGCAGCATCCTGAGCGTGTGGTGTTCCTGCAGGCAGCAGCGTCCTGAGTGTGTGGTGTTCCTGCAGGCAGCAGCATCCTGAGCGTGTGGTGTTCCTGCAGGCAGCAGCATCCTGAGCGTGTGGTGTACCTGCAGGCAGCAGCGTCCTGAGTGTGTGGTGTTCCTGCAGGCAGCAGCATCCTGAGCGTGTGGTGTTCCTGCAGGCAGCAGCATCCTGAGCGTGTGGTGTACCTGCAGGCAGCAGCATCCTGAGCGTGTGGTGTTCCTGCAGGCAGCAGCATCCTGAGCGTGTGGTGTTCCTGCAGGCAGCAGCATCCTGAGCGTGTGGTGTTCCTGCAGGCAGCAGCATCCTGAGCGTGTGGTGTTCCTGCAGGCAGCAGCATCCTGAGTGTGTGGTGTTCCTGCAGGCAGCAGCGTCCTGAGCGTGTGGTGTTCCTGCAGGCAGCAGCATCCTGAGCGTGTGGTGTTCCTGCAGGCAGCAGCGTCCTGAGTGTGTGGTGTACCTGCAGGCAGCAGCATCCTGAGTGTGTGGTGTTCCTGCAGGCAGCAGCGTCCTGAGTGTGTGGTGTACCTGCAGGCAGCAGCGTCCTGAGTGTGTGGTGTTCCTGCAGGCAGCAGCGTCCTGAGTGTGTGGTGTTCCTGCAGGCAGCAGCGTCCTGAGTGTGTGGTGTTCCTGCAGGCAGCAGCGTCCTGAGTGTGTGGTGTTCCTGCAGGCAGCAGCGTCCTGAGTGTGTGGTGTTCCTGCAGGCAGTAGAGTCCTGAGTGGTGTGGTGTTCCTGCAGCAGCAGAGTCCTGAGGTTGGGTTCTGCACAAAGTCCTGATTGTGTTCCTGCAGGCAACAGCGTCCTGAGTGTGTGGTGTTCCTGCAGGCAACAGCGTCCTGAGTGTGTGGTGTTCCTGCAGGCAGCAGCGTCCTGAGTGTGTGGTGTTCCTGCAGGCAGCAGCGTCCTGAGTGTGTGGTGTTCCTACAGGCAGCAGCGTCCTGAGTATCTGCTGTTCCTGCAGGCAGCAGCGTCCTGAGTGTGTGGTGTTCCTGCAGGCAGCAGCGTCCTGAGTGTGTGGTGTTCCTGTAGGCATCAGCGTCCTGAGTGTGTGGTGTTCCTGCAGGCAGCAGCGTCCTGAGTGTATGCTGTTCCTTCAGGCAGCAGCGTCCTGAATGTCTGATCTTTCTGTTAATCAGACTCACCTCATCTTCCATCAGTCGCACTCAGATCTTGTACCTGAGCTGGCGTCGAGGTCTTAAGGAACTGGCGCTCTGTCTGCGAGACCTTGGTTCCATAACAGCAACACCAGACACTCAGGACGCTGCTGACTGCAGGAACACCACTCAGGACGCTGCTGCTTGCATGAACACCAAACAATCAGGACGCTGCTGCCTACAGACAGCTGCACATCACCTCAATATGAGCAGCAGATAGGTGCACGACACCTCAGTATGAGCAGCAGACAGCTGCACGACACCTCAGCATGAGCAGCAGACAGCTGCGCGTCACCTCAGTATGACCAGCAGACAGGTGCAAGTCACCTCAGTATGACCAGCAGACAGGTGCACGTCACCTCAGTATGACCAGCAGACAGGTGCAAGTCACCTCAGTATGACCAGCAGACAGGTGCAAGTCACCTCAGTGTGACCAGACAGGTGCACATCACCTCAGTATGACCAGCAGACAGGTGCACATCACCTCAGTGTGACCAGCAGACAGGTGCGCGTCACCTCAGTATGACCAGCAGACAGGTGCACATCACCTCAGTGTGACCAGCAGACAGGTGCACATCACCTCAGTATGACCAGCAGACAGGTGCACATCACCTCAGTATGACCAGCAGACAGGTGCACATCACCTCAGTATGACCAGCAGACAGGTGCGCGTCACCTCAGTATGACCAGCAGACAGGTGCGCGTCACCTCAGTATGACCAGCAGACAGGTGCACATCACCTCAGTATGACCAGCAGACAGGTGCGCGTCACCTCAGTATGACCAGCAGACAGGTGCACATCACCTCAGTGTGACCAGCAGACAGGTGCACATCACCTCAGTATGACCAGCAGACAGGTGCACATCACCTCAGTGTGACCAGCAGACAGGTGCACATCACCTCAGTGTGACCAGCAGACAGGTGCACATCACCTCAGTGTGACCAGCAGACAGGTGCACATCACCTCAGTATAGCCTTCTTTATCATATCTCAGAAAACACAACTTTTTGACTGTTTAACCCCCAGGTTCACACTATTCATTATTTCTCTTCAAGCTTTATATGTTATGAAGTTCAGTCTCCACTTGAACACTTCCCCCAGTTATTGCTGCAGCTCGAGGAACAACCACCAGTTCCGGATATTTTGAGTGGCCTTAAATAGATAATCACCCATAAAAAATTTGAGAGCTTCTCTCAGTGTGTACATGTTGTCCATGCCTAGACGATATATACTCGAGTGAGATATAATCTCATTGATTCCCCTACCACATGTGTTGCCTGAACCCTGAGAGTGTACCGTGTTCTCCTGAATGTGAAGATTATTCACTTATTCCTTTTGCATTCATTGTGTGCCTCATTGCACCAGAGTTGCAGTTATCGAAGGCTTTGGTAAAGTCTGCGTATAATGCATCTGCATTTATTTTTTCTTGTAGAGTTTCTTAAAACATGTAATGGTGTAGCAGTTGTGAAAGGCAGGAGCTACGTGCTCTAAACCCATGCTGTCCTGGGTTGTGCAATTGTTGTGTTTTCATGTTGACTGGCAGTGTTGCTCCTCAGGACCCGTTCAAAGATTTTGATAACGTGAGCGTTGTTAGCGTAATATATTTCTGCAGCTGCTGTACTGCCACTTTTATGGAATGTGGCTGTCAGTGGACTGACTGTGGGTTGACATCTGTGTCCAGGCTCGTTTCCATAGAATATTTAAAGCATGTGATAATGATTTCTTGAAGTTTTTGATCGATATGGAGTTCCACGAGTCCAGGTATGAAGCAGAATGCTTGGGCAAGTTATCAGCGGCATTTTTAGAATTGAAATTCAGATTACTTGAAAAAATTTGGAGATGTCGGCAGCATTTCGAGTCATACGAATGAAAAACTCATTTGGGTTGCTAATCTTTTAATTGATTAATGGCTCGCTGACTTCAGTATTTAACTCATTTCTTAGTTATCGTCTTTGTAGGTTCCATCTCCTTTAAGTAAGGATGCGATACTAAATGTGGTTGTTGTCCTGGATTTGCATATGGGAAAACATAATTTTGACTTCTTTCAGTATCATATTTTTTTCTTTCCTGGGTTCAGAGGCATTCAATTTCTGATCAGCTTTTTCCCTTTCCATAACTAGTCACACTTTTCGTTCTTCAGAAAGTCTGCGGTCTTTGAGAAGTTTGTGATCCATTTTCTTTGCTTATGGAGGGAACGCGGCTCTCTATCTTAAGTCTTCTCTCTTTTTTTTTTCTTTTTTTTTCGTAATGGTGCTTATGGAGGAGACTTCGAGTACCTTGAAGGTTATCCTCTCGAGATACTGATTCAAACCCATCTTAATGGATCTCGTTGATGTCCTTATTGTTGAATTTGTTGAATGCACATTAATTGTTTTGCTCGGCAGGACCAGTGTGTATGCAGGTCTGACCCTCGATTACATTGTGATCCGAGTTTGTTACATTCAACACCATTTTTCCGTAGCAGATCCTCATTGTGCATATAAGGTCAAGGGTATTTTCTAGCCTGGTCGGTTCCACTATTTACTTGCTTAAGGTGAATTTATTAAAGAGTCTTAAGAATTCGGTTATGTTAGACTGTTCATCTGAACAAGCTAAATTTAAAAGTTTTTCAAGATAGTATCTGAACTGCAGGGAAGTTGTATCCTGTGGTTAAAATTTAAATACAACACAACTTTCTGAGTTTCAGTTTTAATGCAAAACTTTAACTACATCATTTGTGAAATAAGTAACTTACTGCAAATGAGTGACTGACAATTCTCTGCCCCAGGTTTTGCCAATTCTGCAGCTGCGTCTAAGTAGACAGTACCCAGGTACCCACCAATCGCTGTAAAAGTAGTCTTTAACATGGATCTCTGTGAAACTGCAAACATTGCATTTGACCGTTAGGAGGCCCTAATAACACATGTCTTGTCACTTGTAAGATCATCTTTGTTTACCAAAGGTAGAATATACCGATAAGTGTGTAAGATGCAGTGTGTAGCTTATGGCATTTTGAGAGGACGTTTTCGTCCACCGGGGACACTCATCAGTCCAAATAGATATGAACAGATTGATGAGGTCATCGGTGGACAAAACTCAGCAAGTGCCATCAACTGCAAACTGTGACTTATTCCAAGGACTTGAGTAACCATAAATGATGTTAGGCTATTATAGTGATTTCTTTTGATTTTAATACAGCGTATTGGAGAGGCAAATGGTGAATGAGTTACTCACAGTATACAAAATGATTTTAAGGCAAATGTAGTATTGACTGAGGTATTCAGAGTGCAAAAGATGGCTTAAGGGTACTTGAATGGTGACTTGGGAGGGAGGGGGTACTCACCAAGCAGCTTCGAGAGCCAGTCGGCCAGGTCCTCCTTGAGGGGCAGCAACTGACGCTCGTGGGCCTCTGCAATCTTAGCGTTGAGGAGCAGCATGTACTCAGCCTCGGTCTTGGGGTACTCGTCATCCTCCAGCTCCAGGCAGAACGATGGCTCTCTGAGGACGACAAAACCAAGTTGTCAGTTGTCTCACCTCTTGATGTGGCTTGACAACACAATGTAGAGTAAAGTGAAGTTAACAAGTCAAAAACAAGTAAGCTAACCCTGAAGTAAGCAAGCTAATGATGAAGTCAGTAATGAAGTTAGTGACATCAAATCACTCACAGGAGTGTGCCTCAGAACACTCAAAGTTTCAAGAAACATGGCGTTCACATGACGGCTCCTTTGCTAGCCACAGCATTACAGACCAGAAAACCTAACAGCACATCATAAAAGTCTTCGCAAGAGCGATGAGACGCCAAATTACATTTTTTTTTTTTTTTGGCACACCCCAAGCCAGGACGGGAGATCAGGCCTCGTCACCTCTGCTCAACGACTATGGCAGGTGTTGCGGAGGTGTTGAAAGGACATCAAAACACGGATGTGGTTTACGCCAGAGGCATTTGGCAAATGCGATTTTGACTTATGATGTGATTGTACACAAACTGAGGGTGATAAGTATAGTAGGGAAAGTACGCAAATGGATATTTAACTTTAACAATACAAAGTGTGGCAGTAAACAGAGTAAAATCCGGCATTAGTAAAATAATAGTAAAAAAGCTCAGTGCTCCAAGGCACTGTCCTGGCACCTCTACTGTTTCTTATTCTCATAGCAGATATATATAAAAACACAGTTTTGTTTCATTTGCAAATACCATAAATAAACATGGCAATTACCTCGGTAGAAGAAACGGAAAAACTGCAACAAGATGTAAGTAGCGGTGATTAGTTCCAGCTGCTTAGATATGGAAATAATGAAGATATCAAAACAATGTACAAAACCTAAGATCATTAAATAGAACGAAAGAAACACGCGAAAAAAACTTGGAGTAATATCAGCTGATCTTTCAAAGAACACAAGGCAAATATTCTGACAGCCAGCAAGATGACAGGATGGAAAATAAGAACTTGTTTAAAGTATTATCCCCTCTTCAAGGGGGGTTCCCGTCTGAGGAATTGGATCTTTTGGTCTTCTTCCTCTGACTGAACCTAATTACCTCCCAATCCCCCTTCCCTATCCCATCCATCATATCCCTCCCCTCCCCCCTCTCCCCATCCCTCCCCTCTCCCTTTCCTGTTTTCAGCCTTTGGTGCCCTCCCCTCAGGCACTCTAGTTCCTAGGTAGGGGGAAGGGTTCAGTGGTCCATTCCATTTCGTTGAGGTCCTTGGCGGTAGTGTAGTTTGCCATGGAATCTGGATCATCTGGGGGCTTCCCGATCCATCTCCAATCTCCTGGCTCCTGTCAGGTGTCTTTTAATTGACGGGTGTATCTCTGGAGGCTGCCTGTCAGATTCCGGGAGGTGGTGGCTGAAGGAGGTATGGTTTGTGGCGGGTATCCGGCCACCCTCTCTTTTGTCCACCGAGGTGGCTCGGTAGATGTGAGGTTGCTATCCTGGATTATTGTTTTACTAGCATGAAGGGTAGGGTATGGCACAAGTTCCATGCCACATTTGCACTGCTGGATGCACTGAAGTCATCTTGGGCACAGAGGGGAAAAATTTAATTCTTTCTAGGAACTGTCCCTCCGTGGTCCCCCTTTCTTTCTTGTTTTTGGAAAAACAAAAAGAAAAATGTGATCTAACCATGGGGCCCCAGTGATGTAACCATGGGGCCCCAGTGATGTAACCATGAGGCCCCAGTGGACCTTTCTAACACCCTGGTACCTTCTGCAGGTAACATTTCATTGCCTGCTCCTGGTACCAAGGTTCTGTCTGACTCCTTTGACACATCCAACCTCCTTACGTGCGTGACTATGTTTCCGGTTTCTCCCACTACGGTGCGACAATTTTCATATTGCCCACTATCTCAGGATGGACCACCTCCAGGCCCACTCCTAAAGGAGCACGACCATTAACAGACGACACTGCTTTGATTTCCCTATGGACTTAATGGAATTATTTCCCAATGGAAATGAGTCACTCTGACTTTTATGGGTTATCCTAGGTTCTCTATACATATGCTGCGATGTATGATAGTCTATGTAACTGTATTTGTGTATACCTGAATAAACTCACGATTACCTCTCTTCCCAGAAAAGACCAGCACGACACTCGCTCCCCTTACACACTACATTTTAAAGTACACAAGGGACTAACTTTTTCACCTGCAGCTAACAACCCTCACTATCTGACATAGTATCAGCAAGGCAGTCTTGTGCCATCTTGGTCAAAATATTTCATTTCATGTTCTTAGGAGTGGTGCACGCATCGTCATGGTACACAGTGTTGGCCAAGCTCAGTCTTTCTCTTCTTACCTTCATAGACGATGGAGGTATTCTCAGATATGCGTGTCTTGGTGGTCTGCTTGTGCTTGTGTGGAACATTTGAAAGGTGCTGCATGGGGCCGATATCGGTACAATAGTACAACAGACCGACTCCTTGATTTTAAGCATGCAAGAGCAGTCGCCCGCCATGTCATCCGTGAAGCTAAATGCACTTATGGGGATTGTTTCTACCGTCACTTCAGCTTCCCCTGTGTGCAGTCTGGAAAAAAGTATGGAAACTGAGTGGCAAATTCTCTCCAGACCCGGCTCTCATTCTTAGGGTTGACTGAGTCACCATTGCAAACCCTCTTGAAGTTGCCACAGAAATTGGAAATCATCTTGTACATATCTCTCAGAAGCTCCATCTATGGCTCTCATTTCTTTTCTCCCAAACCTGCCAGAGAGTTACAGCCCTTAGACTTTTCTCCTGGCAGAGAAAAGTCTTGTGTGTCTTTTACCCTTCTAGAACTGGAGTAAACATGTTTCGCTTGCCGATCATCGGCAGCTGGACCTGACGGCATTCATATTCATATGCTTCAACATTTACATCCGTCAGCCCTTGCAGCCCTACGACTTTTTAATCTTATTTGGTTGCAAAGAATTCTTCCCCAGCTGTGGAAATCTGCCATTGTTCTGCCTTTTCGTATCCAGGCACTTCGGGGTTTGATATCTCCCACTATCGTCCCATTGCTCTTACCAGTGCAGTTTGTAAGGTGATGGAACATCTGGTAAAGTCATCTGTTGTGGTATTTAGAGACACACAATAGTCTCTCCACTAGTCAATATGGCTTTCGTAAGGGCTGCTCTACTATCGACCTCTTACTCCGCTTAGATACGTATGTTAGCAATGCTTTTGCTAGCAACCACTGTTATCGCCATATTTTTTTTGATCTTGAGAAGACATATGACACTACTTGGAGATATAACATCTTGGCCCAAGTTCACTCCTTAGGCCTCCGAAGCAATCTGCCATTTTTCCTTAAAAGCTTCTTATCTGAGAGACATTTCCGTGTTCGTGTTAATAATTCGCTTTCCCAGGACTTTGTCCAAGCTGAGAGTGTCCTTCAAGGATATGTCCTTAGCACCACTCTTTTTCTTCTTGCTATAAATGATCTAGCATCTGTTCTCCCATCTATATTTGGTCATCACTCTGTTGATGACTTGGCTATAGCATGTGCAGGCACTGACTGTCACCTAGTAGCAGCCTCTCAACCGTGTTTCCCATTGGGCCACCACTTATAGGTTTAATTTTTTTTGTGCTAGAATACACCAAATTACTTTCACCAGACGCTCTATCATTCCTGATACTCCATTGTACCGGTATGACTCATGTATCTCCGAATGTGAAACAGTCAGGTTTCTCGGCCTCCTGTTTGATCTTGGGTTTTCCTGGAAACCTCATAATATCTCCCTGAAAACAACATGCCATAACCGACTGAACCTCTTTAAAACACTGGCTTATATTTCATGGGGGCAGATCGTTGAACTTTCTCGACTGCATTCAGTCTTAATTTTATCGAAACTGGAGTATGGTCACCAGATATATTCAGCGGCCTTTCCTGCGACTCGTTCTAAACTTTATTGCATCCATCACCATTTATGTTTAGGTGCTTTCCGTTCCTCGCCTATCGAGAGCCTATATGCAGAGGCGAATATTCCATCCTTGAATGATCGCCGTGATGCTCATTGCCTCTGCTATTTTGTCCGCTGTCATGACCCTCACAATCCTTCTACGTACAGGATAGTAATGGACCTTAGTAAAGGTCCATCATTTGCTCGCAGCCCCTGTTTACTCTCTTCTCTCTTCGTCTTCACTAGCTCTTACCTTCCCTTCAGTTGCCCCCTTTATATGTTCATCTAGCATCTGTGTCCTTCCTCCCTGGGAGGTTCCGACAGTTCGTGTCTGTTCTTCCCCACTGCCGTGCGCGAAAGCCAAATTACCTACAGTTGCTTCTCACTATCTTTTTCTTTACTACTACTCATGCCGTCGCGTTGTACACTGATGGTTCTAAATCCTCTGGTGGTGCCGGGTTTGCAGCAGTGTTCCCGGACAACGTAGTGCTAGCATGTTTACAGCTGAATTATATGATATTCTCATTGCAGTTAATCGTATTGCATTTTTGCCTACCTCGACATTTGTAGCAGTCTCCAACTCTCTTAGTGCTTTACAAACTATTCAAAAATTTGATTCACCTCATCCCCGAGTCCATTTTCAGACTTTTTCGCAGTAATCTCTAGCCATCTTTGCAACCTTTGGCGATAACGCTGGTCTAATATGACTCATAACAAAGTTATATTCTATCAAACCAAGTTTAGGTTTCTGGCCTTCTTACCATCGATGCCGAGGTTGGAAGATTACGTTCTCACGTCTTCGCATTAAACACACCCGTCTTACTCATGGGTATTTCATGGAGAGGCGCTCTATCTCACTCTGTGAGACTTGTCAGGTTCCAATTTCGGTTTGTCATATTCTATTGGACTGTCCTGTCTTTCAGTGAGCATGCAGAATTTACTTCTGACGTCGTCATGCTCTAACACCCTTACTTTATCTTCCCTCCTCGCTGACGGCCCCATCTTTGACACAGACTCCCTCTTTGACTTTTTGACAGCAACCAATTTATTACACAAGCTTTGGTAATACTTCCTTAAGCATTTCTCACATCCCTTCCTAACTGTACCTTTGTTGTCCTTTCCAT